AACAAAAGAAGTCAAAACCACAAAACAAAAACAACAGCAAAAAACGAACACAAAATAACAAAAAGAAAGCCACTGACTAAATGGAAAAGCCTATAAATAGTTCAAGGTCTGTTTGTAGGCCTTTATGAGTGTTTTCCAGTCAAGTCTGATGGGGTGCCACACTCTGTCTCCCAAGTCTATTTTTGGTGTTCCCCAGGGGTTTCATCAGTCTGCTCCCCCTGCTGCTCCCCTATATGCTCTCAGTGCCTTGCCCCATCGTGATGGGGTCAGACCGTGCACTATTCCCGCACTGTCTCCAGTGCTGTCCTCTGCAGTGCCATGGTTCAGTGAGGGACGCCATGTCCTATGGTGAGGCCAGCCCTACGGTCCTCCCTGTTCGTTGTCTGCTCCGAGCAGGAATATCGTCCTTGGGGCTTGATGGGCCAGGATGTCCTCTGCTCCTTCTCCATCCCTTTGTGTTTCTCCCGTGTGCTCTGATCCGACGCACCCCTCTCCCCAAGCTGTCGCCCCAGTGCTGTCCTCTGAAGTGGGGTGTCCACATAGCTGGGATTGGGGCCGGCCCTGCAGACCTCTCTGTTGGTTCCCTGGCACATGCCAGTATGTTGTATTCACGTCTTGGCGCATCAGGTGGAAGCCTGGTCTCTCTCTCCCTCTTCTGCCCAGTTTTTATTGGGTGATTTGTCTTTTTGTTGTTCAGTTACGTTGATATGCTACTTTATAAGTACAAAAGGACCTCTCTGTGGTGGATTGCATTGAACCGCTAACCGAAAGATCAGTGTTTCGAAGCCACCTGCCACTCTGTAGGAAAACGATGAGGCTGCCTGCCCCATGAATGTATTAAAGTCTCAAAAACCTGATATCAGGTGGCTATGGGTCTGAATCAATTTGATGGCAGGAGGTTGGGTTTGGTGGGTTTCTAAGTACAAAGAGGACCTTTTTTCACAGTTAATAAATATCTAGACCACAATCTTCTGTGCTAGGCAGGACACTGCATTTTCCCTTCTGAGATTGCACAGGAAACAGAGACTTGGAGTTTAAGCATAGACTTGAGCCCAGAGTCCATGAGATAAAGCCTTGCCGCGCTGCCGCCCAGGGGCATTCTGGCCGTACTTCTTCCAGGACAGATTTGTTTGCTCTTTTGGCAGCCCGTGGTACTTTATTCTTTGCCAGCACCAGAATTCAAATGTCTCTGTTCTTCTTCAGTGTTCCTTATCCAATGCTCAACTTTACGTAAGTGATGGCACACAATATCTGCCCTTTGTGACTCAGCACAATGTCTTCCACATCCCTACAGCATTTCTTCTATTGGGTGAGTAGCATTCTGCTATCAAAAAGTTAGTGGGAATCAAAAGCTAATAATAAAATTTCTCCCTGAACGTTTTGAAGCCCCCTAA